AAGAAAAGGCCTACTTTGTAGGTAAAAGCTCCTCTTGGGGACAAAACCAGAATGTACATGCTTCATCACTAGATCTACAGGGGAGGAAGAAGAAAAAAACAAACACACTTCCAGTAGCGGGATTCGAACCCACGCTCATAAAGTAGTTATTTGACTTTAAACGCAGACGCGCTGTCAATTTCGCCATCAGAACTTCCAACAACAAAAGGTAGATTAAGCTTAATATTTAACTCACGACGTTTTAATTAGCGCTGGGGCTAATCGCAACGCGGCGTTTTATTAAGCACCGGAGCTAATCACAACGCGGCGCTGCAAATAGGCACTTCCTATAAGAAATGTATTCATTATGTATCTTGATATGTATCGCAAACCCTTTGTTGTATCTTTTACCTACTGGAAACTCATTGTGTTCCGCATGTCTTTACAAGAACTTAAAAAGATAATTATTTTCTTTGGAAAAACGTGCCCCCTTCACACAGACACACACACAAACACACACACACACACACACACACACACATACAACACACACTCACACACACACACACACACACACACACACACACACACACACACACACACACACACACGAACACGTATATCCACACTCACACACATACCCTCACACACATACACACCTTCACACATGTGAATATATTATATAAATTATGTATAAATAGATCGGTTTATAGATATCAGTAGATAGTATTATTAATACTACGAATGCCCATCTGCCCTTGCAGAGGACTGGGAAGGACGACTGCGCTAAACGAATACTTCCTCGTCTTGATGGCATTGATCATGGTATCGATATTCAATATTTTTATCATGTTTTTGCAGCTAACGGATTAAGTAAGAATGGTGAATGAAAATAGACTTTCAAGAGGCTTCGGGTTGCGCTGGTAGTGTTTTAAAACGAATTCTCCATTTAAAATGTTCGTATTTCGGTTCCTTTTTTTTTAGGTAAGTGTTTTACAGCGCTCGCAACTGCAGAAAGTCATATGAACGCGTGGGACACATTAAAATCCTCGTAGAAAACTTTGAATTTTGCCCTGGTGGTGGCCGAAGTCGACTCTTATCGATTTTGGACCTCCAAGGGATCTTTAACATGCGCAACGTGCACACGCAACCTCCGAGATTTTTCTCCGTTATCTGAGAAGGCTAGGTGTTAAATCTTATCAACCATAAGACCAGGGGTGTGGGTGAAAGACAGCAGTGAGAAGCGGAGAAGTAGCAGTACAAAGGCTGCAGAAAGAGTCAGGAGCCCAGAAGAGGGGGCAAAGGAGAGCTGGAGCGAGCAGAAAGTGGAGACGAAAGCAGAATATGATAGAACATGGTTATAGAGAAGGAAAGGAAGTGAAAGGAGAAAATGTACCGTCGCCGTCCTAATTCGAACCTGGGACCTATTGAATGAGAGGCTGACACCTTAAACTCTCTTCACGCCCGCCCCCTGCAGTTCCTTGTGATTTTGGGAAGGTTTTCGTTTTTCATTCTCCTTAGTCTGGAAACGTTGACGAGGTCTCCTGACGCTTTTTTTTTGCGGTTGTCCCCATCTGTAGCCCGGTCTGTTTCTGTACAAGTTGTGAGTGTGTGTGTGTGTGTGTGTGTGTGTGTGTGTGTGTGTGTGTGTGTGTGTGTGTGTTTGTGTATTTCGTCAGAGCTCGGGACGACATACAACCTACCTCGCCAAACTGCATTCGATACTGTAACCAATTACACCAGAGATGACGTCAAAGTCGCCCTCCCCCGCCCTCCCAGGAGCAGCCGTGCCTTCGCAATGCATTAAAGGAACGATCTTCTCTTAGCACAGCAAGGGTCAAAATCCCAGACCCCAAGAAACGTCCTGCTCTCCAGATTTTTCTGTTTTGTTTTTCATGTATTTTGCATGTCACTCGGCTTGCTAGGCCATAAAGCAACGAATGTCCTCCGCAGTTTTAGTAATATCGTAAATAAACAAACACAGAAGGGGTCAGCATGGACATAGTCGCTGCCGAGGGGGTCGGGAAGGGGACTGAACGTGCACAGTCAGCGGTTTTGTTCTATGCTGTGCATTAAATCTTGTGGGTTGCTGGAGTGCAGTGTGGTGTGCATTGTACTGCACTTTTCTGAACCTGTGTATACTAAAGGGGGACTGGAGTGAGGGGTTCAGCCCTGACAATTCATCAAAGCTGAGGTTTGCACGCAGAAAGAAATGCCAACGTTATTTGTTGTGTGTACTTATCTTTTTATATGTTTTTGTTGTATAATCTTTTCCTTTTCTGTCTCACTTGAAACGTTTTGTCTTTTCTCTCTCTCTCTTTTTCATTATTAAAATTTCTTTTGGTATGTTGGTTCTAAATTGCCTAGAAAAACTTTGTCGGTACCTTTATTTCAAATTTAAACTGATCTGGACTTATTTCACTCTAACATATCTTTTTCTATCGTATCCTTCGTCGAATTTTTTTCTGGGGAGGGGGGCGGGATCCAGCGTCCTTTTTTAAAGTTGACTCTTTCTATCTCTGTTCATATCTAAGTCTATAATTGTAGGTATGTACTATTTATTTTCTTCCAGTTCGTTGGACTCCAGGAGACAGTAGAGTTTGGGAAAGACGAAGGGCACGTGAAATAAATAAAGGAACATAGAACTAGATATAGTTTCTGTGTGATAAATTGGCGAACGAAAAGACTGGACACCAATTTCGTGTTATGCACATCAAATAATACCACAAGAAACAAAACTATTTTAAAAGGATGAGGGATCCATATCAGTAAATAATCTTTCCTGATTTTTCCTGGTGTAGTTGTGGCATATTATTTTGGATATAATAGGAACAGAAAGAAGAAGGCATGAGATAGAAGGGGAGGTTTGGGTGGAACAGGAATGGGGGGATAGGAGGGGGGGGGGGGTCAGAAATAGAAAGATAAAATGAGGCGAGAGAAGGGGGAGCGGCAGGGAATGAAACAATGACTGCAAGCAAATAGAGAGAAAGAACTGGTGAGAAAGAAAGAGGGAGAGGGGGGTAGCGAAATGGGAGAGAGATAGGGAGAATAAAAGTACTAGAAATGCAGAAAGAGTGATAAAGTTGAAATAGGAAGAGAGAAAAATGGAAAAACACGGAAAACATAACAGAAAAGAAAGACAGAGAG